TATATATATATATATATAATTATAAACGTTGGGAAAATAATCAATTTGTAAAATTGTTTAATATATCTTATTGATACGCTAATTATAAACATTCAATTATAAACATTCATAAACAGAAAATAAAAAATTCAATCTGTATAATTATTTAGCTAAGGCTGGCTAGCTAAGTGCTTTCCTTTTAAGAGACATAGTCGATAAAAATCGTCTTTCTTGATATTCAATGAATAACAAATCAGCTACGTCTTTTAAAAGGAAAGTATTCTAAGTAAATATATTACTGATTGATATGCTAATTAGCCTTTTGGTGTATTATATATTCGTACTAACTTTACTAAATCGATACACTCGCGAGGTATTTGCGGCAAGTCTTTGAAGCTGTAGAGATTGCCAGCAAACTCATAATTGGGGTTATATTCGGTCATCATCGTGTCCGATTGGTGTCCTGGACGCAATGCAGCTAATTCAGTGCCATTGCCAAACATCACTTGGCGGCGATGGGAAAGCGCTTTCTGTTTTTGGTACCGTTTATCTGTCGGATAATATAAAATATGCAAGAGAAACAAAAATACGGAAGATCGAAATCAATATCTTATATCATTTAATCTGTTATATTATAAAACTCAAAGTTTTTGTGTACGTACAAGATATTAGGCAAATTCCAATAATAGTAAGCAAGCCAATGATTACAACTACAAGTTGGATCATGTACGTTTGATGACCATCTTTGGAATCGTCAGCCACTAAAATTCAACGTGATTTTATTTCATATTTGCATGTAATAATGAAAGTGACGATATATCATGGTTGTGCTTACTGATGCAGGATTTTGAATCGTTACTGAGCAACCAACCCTGAGGACAGAGACACTTGGTCTCGCTCAAGTACTGATCGAGCGCGACGCAACGGTAATCGCAACCGCAACCACTGATCGCGGGTATAACGAAGATCTCGCCTTGGCCAGAATGAGCTGCAGCTTTAAAATAAATATCGGTGAGCTTCTGACTGGCGTATGAATAACCACCTTCACCACTTCCATCATTCTGTCCAGCATTCCCACCTAAAGAGGGCAAAGTTACTTCTATAGTTACTTCTGTACTAGTGCTGTTGAAGATTATTATTTACAATATATAAATTTGGATCAAGATGGATTTTAATCAGTATTTTTTGTTTCTTGATTTTAATTTCGATATCTCAATTGTAGTGTAAAAATATATTTAAGAAACGTTTTATATAATAATGCAAATATTATAGATTTAAATATATTAGCGAGATTTATGGTGACATCTAAATCACTTTGTACAATATTTTCATATTTCTCCTTACCAATGTAACCTCCGCCACCACCTCCTGATTGGCAACCGCCCCCACCTCCGCCAAAGCCTCCATCACCATGAATTTCCCCAATTCCCGATTCACAACCGATACCTCCTATACCTCCATAAATTAATGACATTCCCCAAGCCTTTTGTTGAAAATTAGGCCGTGTTCCATTCCAACTAGCACCGGGTCCACCTTAAAAGTCGAAATTCTACTTGCATTTGCATTTTTACCTTAAGTTGCATTCTTCTTATAAAAATGCAATTCGGATATTTTTATTATATATTTTAAGGAAAAAAACTAGTTACCCATGCGTTCTGAAAAATTGGACGGAGAAGATGAAAGTCTACCCATGGGAAAGGGACCGCGTCCATGCTGCAATCCATCGTCCATAGTAGGATTCAATCCTAAACCACCGCCACCACCCGCGATTAAGATGGGCTCCGGATCACCGTTTGCTTTCAACTATAATCGGTTATATCGAATTTGTATATAATAATCAGAAGAAAATTAATGGAAAACTAAAGTAAGATTTTCTTGTGCAAATATTATTATAATTCTAATATAAAATATATGTATATATAAATATAACTCTTATCAGCTGTAATAAGAAGAGCATCTTTTATCTTTTATTTTACTAAATTGCTATAATCATTTCTTTTTTTACTGAGAATATAATATTTACTGTGAAAATGGCAGTCGCACCACCGCCGCCGCCACCAGGATTCCTAAACTCAACTTTCTTCACTTCTCGCATTTTCGATGCCTGCGATAGTGATATTGATTCGGCATATTGATTCGATGGACAGGCAGTTCTTTTTAAGCCAAGATTCTGTTTCGACAAGATCAATAATATTAATTTGTTGTAAACAATAATGTGAATTAAACAAATAGAAGATATTTCATAATTTATAATGCAACTCAAAGAAGAAAATTTATTTTTGCAAAAATAAAACTGAACATGTAGAATGAAATTCTTTTCAAGTTTTTTAAAAAAAAAAACCAATTTAAAAATATTCTGCAGGAGGGAGAGAAATCAATATTGAAACAATTTCGTTAGTCAATAGAATTTATGAAAAAATATTAATGAAAGTTATAAAATAAAAAAGCTTAAGAATATAAAAATAATTTTATTAATATTCCAGTTCTCACATTTTATTTTCTTGAAAATAAATGTTTGTGTAGAAGAAATATTTATTTATATCTTTATTATATTATTTTATGTAAATTTTTTCTGGTCAGCAATACTCACTTTGGCACACGCATCCGTTCCCTCTTGACCAATCATGAAATATAACTGATCGCCCTTTTGGAGTTCTATGACACCGCGAACAAATGCACCCAAAGTGATGCCGGTATTGCTCGAACCCAAGCCTCCTCGTGCTCCGATGGCGATTAAACTGTTTTCAAAAACAATATTGTAATTAGACAGGTCGAAATGGACGCATCATTCTATATTCTATTTATCATTTCTATACATCTCACGAATATTAATTTGTAATTTGAAAGTACATTTTTTTCTAATTAGCTGAGTACAGTTATAGATTGATCCGTGTATTAACGAAATTTAAATCTTACCCATCTATTTGTAATTTATTATAAATGACGTTTCTTCGTGCAATCACATTTTAGCAAATCATTATTTTAAAACATACCTTTTTGATTAAGTTTCTTCTAAAGAAAAACATATTTTTAATATAATATACATGGAAAAAATTATTTTTTTCATTATAAAGCCTACATTTCTATAAGAAATTAATAACAAACGATAAATGTGTATGACACAATAAATAAAAATTTTTGATCATCTGTGAATTAATATTGTGATTTAATATTGAATTATTAATTTTATAATTTCTCTGTTAAAATTAAATTACCCCCTCGTATGATTAAATTGATATTATCATTAAACTAATAAACTGTCTTGAAAGCTCACTATTGTAAATCTATATTTCTAAAAAGATTTGTCTACTAACGTGTAGTATTCACCGCGTGGTGCAGTCCATCGTTGGACTCCATACAAATTAAAGGTCGATCTTTTCTCCTCTTGTATCAATGACGGTATCAACAATTCTATATTTGTGTTATTATATTTTTCAGTACATTTTTCATCAGTAGGACCGGTCCTGCCGGAAGCCGCGCAAGTGGTAATTCGAATAACTGAAAGTAATATAACTGATGTAAAATGTAATTTGATAAAATATTTCTGATAATCCGGAGAAAAAAAAAATATATATATATGGACATATTTTATATTGTATAATTATATATAATTTTATCTAATTTTATAT